AAGAGTGTTCATTTTGATAAGTCGAATGTATGCTCATTTGACAACCGCTAAGAGGATCTCAAATTGCTGATTTCCTTTTTAAGCAGTTAGAGTCCAAATTGATTTTAAAATAGAAATGGAAACAGATACATTTACCATTTTTGTTATTGTTCATCCCTGATATTGGAAACCAGTGGTTGGGAAAAACTGTATTACAATAATAGATGGATGATAGTTATAATACAAAGTAGCTAATTATTAAACCATAAGATAGGCATAAATAATTTGCCTAGAGATCGCAGAAGGAGATCGGGAAATGCAGAGATAACAGGATATTATGTAAAGTTTTGCAAAATTGATAGTATTTGAACATGTGGAAAGAGAAAGAAATGAGCTCCTAGGCAGAGGAAAGAGTTTTAAAACAGACTTAGAGGCCCTCAAACATAAGGGATACACACAGGAAATAGACAGGCATTCAATCTGCCTGACAAATTGGCATTCAGTTTACTCTGCCAAGTCAAGAAGTAGGAAACGGTCATCAAATTTGGGAAAAATGAAAAAGAAAACTGAGGAAATATCACAGAAAATGTTAAATGCTTGGCCAAGGTATCCATTCAGTAGGAATTGGGGAGATATTGACAAGGTATGAAAGGTTGGTGCAAAGGTTCATTCTCTTCATATTTGGCATATCTTGGCTTATAACTGCTCTTTGCTTTGCTTTGCTATTTTTTTTTTTTTTTTTTTTTGAGACAGAATTCCGCTCTTGTTACCCAGGCTGGAGTGCAATGGTGTGATCTCGGCTCACCACAACCTCCGCCTCCTGGGTTCAGGCAATTCTCCTGCCTCAGCCTCCTGAGTAGCTGGGATTACAGGCACGTGCCACCATGCCCAGCTAATTTTTTGTATTTTTAATAGAGATGGGGTTTCACCATTTGACCAGAATGGTCTCGATCTCTTGACCTCATGATCCACCCGTCTCGGCCTCCCAAAGTGTTGGAATTACAGGCTTGAGCCACCATGCCCCGTCCTTGCTTTGCTATTTTCAACTCTCCTTGAACATTTAAGTGTCTCAGATTTGTAAAAAAACAACCTTAGAATGATATTCAAAGTACCTCTGCTACCTTTTGCCTTGATGTTTCTATTATTATTATTATTTTGAATTTGCAATTCCTTATTTTCCATGATCTCCCATTTCCTTATTAACAAAATAGCATTAAATTGCCAGATTTGTATACTTTACCCTGGAACTCTAAGGTAATAAATTGAATATGTTTTGCCATACGATTTTGGGAGTAGGATCTAGGTACCTCTAAGAAATACTTTTATTTTAGCAAATATTGTATATTCTTTACAACAATTCACAATTAGAGAAAGACAAGGGGAGGGGGCCAAGTCAAGTTTATGTATGCTATTACTGAATTCAGATTATAATTAGTGGTCATGTCCATGGTTCAGGAGCTGAAATAACATATAGCCAGAAATTAGTCATAATTATGAGGGTATAGGAGAAGAGATTTCATCTCTATCAAAATTGAAACATATTTAGCATAAAGCCTAAGACTTAATAATATATTTTTATATTTGTGTGTAAGATACATTTCAAATAGTCATTGAATAACTCATTGCTATATCTCTTAGATGATAAAGAAAATTTATATATTGTCTCTTTATACTTGTTTGATATATTATCAGAATTAGGGACCATAGTTATAGATCCCTGAAATAAGTGAGCTCAGTTAGTGACATTAACCTTGCCTTTCTGTCTGTAGATGTGATACAGAATTTTTATCTTTGATGGAATGTTTCTAACCAAAATTAGTATGTAAATTATACACTATACTTGTTTATAATTCTGATTTGTTATCCTAATTTCTTAATTGATCCATAAACTTGAACATCTTTTGCATTTCAGAACACACTTGTAAGCAATTCTGGAAGCTCTTACAATTAGGGTTGGGGAATTTCACTAATATTTTTAGTTTGCTTTTTATCTAGAAGTCATACATTTTGTTTTGTTTATATCAGTGTACACAGAAGTACAGTGAATAACACTGTCAGTGTTTTTGCTTTTCCTCTTAAATGATACATAACAGAAAAATTTGATAGTACAAGGAGAATATTAAGCCATGGAAATATCAGCTATATTAATGTTGTCTTATATTAATAAGACAATTATTAAAAGTTTACCTGAATACTAAGCTACACTTACAGTGCAAATTGAAATGTTTCCCCAATAAGACTTTTTTTTTTTTGCACGGAGATCACAGTAAAGCAAGTCGGTGTGTGCTGCGTAATTTTTTCTTAGCTTCATCTGGTATCTCCATATACTTTGTCTTCTCTTTCCCTTTCCACACTTTTCCCTTAGAGTTTCCTTCCTTGTCCTTGAGACATTATTCCAAGCTGCCAGTTCAAGGACTATACTGTAATGTCCTGCAAACGACCACATGGAAGCTATTGGTAGGTACATATTTTAAGAGAAAAAAGAAAGCAAATAAGAAGCTGTAACCCAGTCTAAAGGAAACATCTGGTACCTACCAGAAGTGATATACTAAAAATGAAACACAGACCTTTTACATTTTAAGTTAATAACAATGACCACAATATAGAAATGGGTGAATTAAGAAGCAAAGATTTCAAGGTCTAAGTCTTGATGAAAGTTTAGATGACATTGCTTCTTCCAGGAAACTTATAAATAAAGGAGACTGATTGTCTTTCACGTAAAAAATTAAATGCAAGCAAAAGTCATAAAGCAGAAAATACTTATAATATTTGTGTTTTTTAAGGGACAGCAGAAGCAGTTAGGCCTGCTCGGTCTTTCTGTAAACTTTTCTTCCTGTACAGTTAAAAGTCAACTTTATACTTATTCTGTTCATAAAGACCATATCTAAAAATATATTTTATTGGGTTTTTTTGGTCTTTTGACTTTATATTGTGGATATTTTAGAAAATAGAGATAATGAGCCCAGGTGATCATACCCCAGCTTCAGTGTTTATCCACATTTTGCTATTTGGGCAGTAAGTCACTTTTATATATTCAGCCTAAAAGCCTTAACATAGAGGACAGACACAAAATAAACACGTATTTGAATATTGGAAGTTGGAGGCTAAATCAGAGATTAGATAAGAATTGCAATGACCAAGGTCAGAAGTCACTAGGAAAAAACAGTCAATAAATTTTATGTTTGTATTACATGCACACCAATTCACAACCCAGAAGAAACTGATGGGATTTATTTAGCTACTATGTGCTAGTTGTACTATTAAAATATCTGCAGGATCAAAGAGATCATATCAACACTGAGTTCAAAACGGTCACCTCTACTTTTCTTGATGGTAGCTCAAATAAGAACCCTATTTCATTGCCTTAATGCTAAATAGAAGCTTTGCCATATTACAATACAAATTCCCTTGGAGGTTTGGCATAGCTATTTGTAGGTCATGAGTCAGTGTTAGCCAGTTTACCCTTGGTCATCTTAGGGCATGTCACATAGAAGGCTTTCCATGAAATTGACTGAATAAATTGTTTCAGTATGTAATGCAGTGAAATGTGTTTTTAGGTACCAGTACAGGCAACTGAGAGACAGATGTGTTCAGATTTTCTATTTCTTAATAATTCAATCTTAGTAGATTGCACATGTCCAGTAATGTATCCATTTCCTTTAGGTTGCTAGCATACAGTTGTTCATAATAATTTCTTATGATCTGTTGTATCTTTTCCATTAGATCGCAGCATCCTCTCCAATGTAGAGCCATTCTTTGTGACTTCTTTGGTACAGATTTTCTAGATAAGGCTAACATTTGAGAAAACCTTTGGATGAGTTGTGATTATAAAAATGAGACTGACACATGCATAAATTAATTCAAAACAAATGCAAATTAATATAGCCACCTCAAGTCACACAAAGTTAAATGCTTTGCTCTGGATTCAACAGAAATTGGAAGCTGACTTCATCAGACTCCTGGTCTTTTGACCACATTGAGTTTTTATGTCCAAAGCATAACTTAGGGCTTATGTTCCCTCAACATGCAGTTTATGCCTAGTCTTGTACCAGTACTACTTCGACGCCTCCATTACACCTTGTAGTTATTATTAGCCACTAACTTAGAAGCCCCTGGAGAGAAATGAGTATGGCTTTGCAGTCATCACTGTGTTTAGGAGTAAGTGCCCAATAATATATTTGATTGGCAGTCAAAGAGCTAACACATTAACCATTTCACTTAAGCCTCATTAACTCTCTCATGTAAAGAGCACTACAGTGCAGATTATTGGCTAGATGAGGAAGCTATCTTATTTATCATCCAGGCATTATTCTTTATCCTTGTTCCTAGACCAACTAATGCCAAGTGTCAAAATTTAGTTTGATTATAATATCTTTCCTTATCCTGGTAGTCAGTTGTTTTTACTCTTACAACTTCAGTTCTGAATGGGGAATAATTGTCTAACAGATTATCCATGAATCTGTCATACACTGTCAGTTATTTTCCAAACACTGTCACTCAAATGACTTCTCAATGCTCAGCTTCCTTAATTAACATTTGAGACAAAGATCACATTTTTTGTGAGATGGGGTTCACTCTGCCACCCAGGCTAAAGTGCAGTGGTGCAATCCAAGCTCACGGTAGCCTTGACCTTTTAGGCTAAAGTGATCCTCCCATCTCAGACTCCCATCACTGAAATTACAGACATAATGCACCACCATGCTCAACTAAGTTTTTTTAATTTTTACTTTCTTATAAAGATGGGGTCTCACTATGCTGCCCAGGCTGGTCTCCAACTCCTAGGCTCAAGCCCTTCCTGCCTCAGCCTCCCATGTCACTGGGATTACAGGTGTGACCCACACCACCAAATTCACATTTGCTCATATATGAATGAAAGGTGTTAGAATCCTGGGCCCTGAAAGGTTAGATTGTATCTATATGGATTTTAAACTTGGTCTTGAACTCCTCACTATATAAATTTGAACTTGAGATGCACAAAAGGCCTGAAATTCTAATCAAAGATTTTTCACTATGCTCTGCAGATATTTGCTATCATCTTTGCTATCATCAATATCCAGGAATAGTAGACAAAATGCAATAGAGTAAAAGGTATTTGGAACATCAGAAAAATTCTCCCTCAATCAAATAAAAAAGTGAATCCAGCAGAAGCAAAGGTAAATGAATGAAGAGGATCAGACTATTATGATGAATTTGGGAAGTACAACTGTTAAAGTTTTCAAGCCCAAGAACTTGATGGAGAGAGCAAGTAGAATGGCTTATGAACAACTGTCTTTATCTGGAAGATTCTGTAAATGAAAAAGAGAACACATTTCCTTCCTAGAGAAATCAAGCTGCAAATAAACAGAATCTGTTTATATCCTAAATCCTGACATTGTTTGAATATCTCATTCCCAGAATGTTCTTTTTGTAATACTAACACTATTTACAAAGTCGTGGGTACAGATAATTGATAATATTAAAGCTTCTGACAACAGAGATGATATTTTAAAATATTGTGATCTTCAGACTCTTTGAGGAGAAACAGATAAGAGACTTTAGTTTTTCAAGTATCCCTTACCACAGTCATTTTCTAATGTTTGTTGTACTGTACTGAAGTAGTGTACTGAGCGCTCATTTTTTGCCAAATATGTGAAGATAATTGAAAGTAATTTTGAAGGTGATCAGAAGACAATGGTGTGTAAAATAGGAAAAATTCAACATGAATGGGGAATCCCTTTCCTTTCAATTTTTTAAAAGGGTTAATTCAGAGACTGTATGAAAGAACATCCTATAATTGTTTGGAACAAAACCTGCAATGAATTTTGGATAAAAATGAAGTACGAACATCAATCAGTTCACCATACAGCCTCCCTCGCCACACGCACATGCGTGCACACACATACACTGCAGCTTTGTATATCCTTGCTCCTCTACGGAGATCCTAAATTCAGGGTGCATGCTCTGTGTTGCAAAATATGTGTCTATTTCTTGCTTTTGATCATGGATCATGTGCTCTAATAACTTCAACATGATTAGATTCAGAGTTTTATTGAAACCTCTTTCTACCAGCAAACTATAACAGCATGGTTGTATCTATTTGGCTTCCAGTGCAATGCACTAGCTGTTCTGTGATTTCTCCTTTTCCCCTTTACTTTGCCTTGTACCCTGGGCTTCCTCTCTTCACTTTGTCCTCTGCCACAGTATCTGATCACATGATCAAGGCACTTACGCAATGTGCTGGCACACCTCCTGCCTTCCTGGCATCATGGTCAACATGGTTAGGGTAGAGATTATCATGGGAATTTATGACTGGGTCTACGTATTTTAAATGATTGAGCAAAACATACAATATCAGTGCAAAGTGCAAAAGTTGCTTGAAAATAGAAGAAAGGACAGATAAAAATGGTGAAGTACAATATTGTAGTAACAAAAGCGAAGACAAATGGACACAGGATGGAAGAAACTATGACAATTCCTCATACAAATCATGTCTAAAGTCTAAATTATAGTTACAGTTCACAGAGAGCAATGAGAAACTCTGAATCATATTTTGTGTTGTATACAGTGAAATATTTATTTTTGATTTTATATATTCATAAGGTATAATGTTTTGATATATTCATACGTCATGGAATGATTAAATCTGGCCTGTTAACATACCCATCACTGTACATACTTATCAATTTTTTGTGGTGAGAACCCTCAAAATCTACTCTCTTTACAGTTTTCAAAAATGCAATACATTGTTATTAACTATAGTCCACATGCTGCATATTTCCCAAACATTCCCCCCATCTAACTGACACTTAATATTTTTTAACCCAAGACTCCCCAACCCCTTGGTAACCACCCAAGAGGGTTGCCAACGCCCTAGTAACCACCATTCTACTTTCTCTACTTCTGAGTTTAACTTTTTAAGATTCCACATGTAAGTGAGATTGTGCGATATTGGTCTTTCGGTGTCTGGCTTATTTTACTTAACAATTCTCTCCAGATTTATCTATGCTGTCAGAAGACAAGTTCATTCTTGACACAGTTCTGTCAAAACCATCCCAAAGAACCTCAGGAACATCACTTGTGCAAGCTCCCTGGGTTCTCTTTTCTGTAAAGGCCTGCTGATCTTGCAGCCTTGTTGTTCACTGTGGCATGGCCTAGTGCCTGTAACAAAGCTTGGGACCAAGCAGGAGCTCAGTACAGCTGTGAACACCCAGATTGAAAGCCTTGCAAGACTCAAACACCCAGGGCTCTTCCTGGGCAAAAATCTGAAATAAATGGAAGTCTATTTCGACTTCCTTACCTCCCATTCTTGTGAAATTTCACTATTTTACTATCGGCCTTTCTTTCCCCTCTCCCATAACCAGGAGCTCTTGAGTTGTTCCCTTTTGTCTTTCTTTTGAAAAGATACACCTACACTGTTTATTTAATTTGTATGGTAGGCAAAACTTAATCATGGGTCATAGGGATGTGAGTATGTTAAGGCTCTGTTTTATTTGAAGAAAGGGCTCTCTTTATTTCATAGCTAAAGCCACGTTTTAAATTATTATAGCACTACGCTGCTCAATTCAAAGGAAGACAAAAGGGTCTAGGATCAGGTATTGATGGCAAAAAAAAGTGGTCAAAGAGACCTGTGTGGGAAGAAGCTGGAAAGGTAAGATTTCAAAGCAGGAAAGAACAGAGCTAGAGTTATAATGCAGAGAAGGAAAATAGTCACACAGAAGACACAATGTCACTCTACACTCTGCATTCAGATTTCCTTGAGTTGTCTAATATGTAAAGCCTGTTGCAGCCCAGGCCCAAATCCAGGAAAAATTTTTTAAAGTTCTGTATAAGTGGGAATGGGGCCAAGGCAGGAACAGGGGTAGGAGAACTACTTTCAGTAAAAATTGTATATTTGCCTTACACTTCTCAATAGTATATTATTAATTACATATCCTTGATTTGAAGGGGTAAATTAATTTTGTATAGTTTAAATTTGATTTTACTTACTTTCTATTAACTAAGACATTCAGTTCTCATTTGAGAGTTACATATCACTTATATTTTAATTATTTTAACCCATATTATCTGAAGACCCACACATATTGGAATGTTTTCTATTTTAATGGAAGCATGAGCTTTTAAGATGTTATTCATGGGTGGCTGAGGTATTCTCCTATTTATATGGAATAACTTGAAAATTATTTTATTGTTGCCTGTAGGTTTATTTTGTTTCGCTAAAGCCATCATAAACTTCATTATTCAATGAGGCCCTTACAAACTCTTTAGATTGTGCTGTATATCATTTCAATTGTTAGCTTTTAAATTTACCCAAATGAGAAGGAACCAGAAAAACAAATCTGGCAATATGAAAAAACAGTATTATAACATCTCCAAAAGATAACACTAGCTCTCCATCAATAGATCCAAACCAAGGTGAAATATTTGAAATACCAGTTACTCAAGAAGATACAAAACAAGAGTGAAAACCAACATAAGGAAATTTATTTAAAAATTCAAGATATAAACAAAACATTTTCTAAACAGATAGATGTTTTAAGGAAAAACCAATCAGAACTTCTAGAAGTGAGAGACACATTTAAGAAATGACAAAATTCATTGGAAAGTTTTAACAGTAGATTAGATTAAGTAGAAAAAAAAATTTAAGAGGTCAAAGAGTAGGCTTTTGAATTAACCCAATCAGAAAAAATAATGAAAAGAGAATCAGAAGAAATAAATAAAGTCTCCAAGAAACATATGATTATACAAAATTTCCAAACCTAAGAATCATTGGTGTTCCTGAGGGAGAAGATAAAGCAAAAAGTTTAAAAATTTTATTTGAGAAAATAATTGGCAAAAATTTCCCTGGCTTGCTGGAGATTTAGATACCCAAATACAAGAAGCTGAAAGTACTCCTAAGAGATACACTGTAAAAAGGTCATCACCAAGGCATATAGTCATCAGGCTATCTAAAGTCAACATGAAATAAATAATTTTAAGAGCAGTGAGACAAAATTATAACCTATAAAGGACAACCTATCAGATTAACAGCAGACTTCTCAGCAGAAACCTTACGAGCCACAGGGATTGTGGTCCTATTTTTATCCTCCTTATACAGAATAACGGTAAGCCAAAAATTTCATATCCAGCAAAATTAAGTTTTGTAAAGAAGCATAAAGTATTTCTTTCTCAGAAAAGCAAATGTTGAAAGAATTTGTCACTACCAGACCAGCCCGACAAGAAATGTTAAAAGGAATTCTAAATCTTGAAACAAAAGGTCAATACAGCCCAAAATAGAACCTCTTGAAAGCATAAAATTCATAGGGCCTATAAAGCAATAACATAATGAAGAAAACAAAGCTGCTAGGGAACAATCAACCTGATGACTAGGATAGTACCTCACATCTCAATATTAAATGGTTTAAATGTTCCACTTCAAAGATACAGATTGCCAGAATGGATTTTAAAAATCACAAACCAAATACCTCCTGTCTTCAAAAGACACACCACAGATATGGATTCTTATAGACTCAAGGTAAAGGGATGGAAAAAGATATCCCATATAAATGGAAACCAAAATTGAGCAGGACTCACTATTTTTATGTCAGATAAAACAGACTTCAAAGCAACAACAGTAAAAAAGAGACAAAGAAGGTCATTTTATAATAATAAAAGGATCAATCCAACAAGAAGAAATAATAATCCTAAATATACATTCATCTAACTGGAGTTCTCAGATTCATAAAACAATTACTACTAGACCCAAGAAAAGAGATAGACAGCAACATAATAATAGTGGGGTTGGGGGAGAATGGCCACAAAGGCTAGTCTGACTGGAAGTAGTTACTGTGTGTGGTTCTCATGGAGAAGAATGGAAGGGGTGAGTAAATACAGCACCTTCAACTGAAACATCCAGGTACTTACATTGAAGCTAATCAAGGAAACATTTCAGCACAAGGAGAATGGAGAAAAACAAGGCCGGGTGAAGGCCCACCCAGGGAGCCGAAGAGAAGCTCCCCTGCCCAGAGAAGCAGGAAATGGATGTGCAATCCTGGAAACCCATGCTTCTCCCATGGATCTTTGCAACCCTTAGGTCAGGGGACCTCCTCATGAACCAACCCCACCAGGGCCTTCAGTTTGACACACAGACCTGTCTCAGCAAAGCAGCCACTCATGCATGCATGGAGACCCAGGAGATTTAGATACTCTGGCTCTCCGGGCATCCCAGTAAAATTAGCTGCAACTTTGGCAAAGTGGGAGATTTGAACCCCATATATACCCCTAGGAAAAAGGATGAATCCAAGGAGCTGAGCAGTGATGGTTTGCAGGCTCTGCTTCCACAGCATGTAACGGGATAAGACCCACTGGCTTGGAATTCCAGGCAGCCATTGGTAACAGCATTGCACTT